TACCCATTGTGACGTCGAATATTGAGTTATATTTCTTTCGCCAGGGTTGTTGGTTGTGTATAAGGAATTAATTCTTAGCGTGTATAATGATGTTTTTTTCGGCGTTTGTGATGTTGTCGTAGGTTGAGGCAAAATTCAGTGCTTTGTTTAAAGGTCTTGATTAATGGATGGATAAAAGTGTACGATGTCGAAGGATATGAAGGTGACGTTTTTTTTGTGTTTGATAGATTTGAACCACTGGATTACAGATGATGAGTTTTTCCATTGGTTGTATGAGGTTGTTTTTAGGATGTTGCTGTTAATTCTGTCCAGTATTTTCTTGCTAATTTTACCAACTTCAGATTTTGTTGGGTTGATAAGTCGGCAGGTTGGTTTATTCGTAAAGTTTGGTTTATGGTCTTTGAGTGTTATGAATGCATTTTTATGGGCTTCTACTCGGTCAGATATACCCAGTCGTGATGTGATGTTTTTGTCTTCGGTGTGGATGGCTTTTATTGTGTCGGCGTTTTATTTCTTGTATGATTTTGTGATGTTTTGTTCAAGGAGGTCGTAGTATGCTGGCTTGTCTAGTTTGTAGAAAGTTGATGTTTTGTCGGCAGCGATTAGAAGCTTCGTTTCGTGTTTCATGGTAGTGGTGTGGTCTTTCATTTTGGTAAGGAATGGGCTATTCACGTCTTTAAAACTTTATCGATTGTATCATTTTCGTCATGTCTTTGTCGAAATCTTTTAGGTCGTCGATCGGTGGAGGGTTTTTAGTACTCTTGAAGCTATAGGTATCTTTATAATCGGTGGTAGTATTCGGGTTAAGGAAGAAGTAAGCTTTCCAGCGCATATTACGAAGGAAGGTCTCAGATTTTTCAATAAGTCGTTGTAAGTATTCATTCGGTGATGGTAGGGGAATGTTCTTGATCCGATACACACTAAAATTCAATTCAGACGCTACTATCAAACGAAAAAACAGACTTCGACAAAACATACTTTGGTACAACCCTCCATTTAGCAAAAACGTCTACACGAACAATGGCCACAAATTCCTTTCATTAATCGACAAACACTTCCCCATAGACCATAAACTCAGGAAAATATTCAACCGTAACACCATCAAACTCAGCTACAGCTGCATGAACAATATCGAACAAATAATCAACAACCATAACAAACATATACTGAGAACATCAGACAAAACTAACGACAACACCGCGAACAAAAGGACACTTACAAAAACATGCAACTGCCGACAAAAACAAAACTGCCCACTTAACGGAAACTGCCTGCAGTCATCCGTTGTTGACCAAGCTACTGTAAAACGCAAAGACAATAACACAACTGAGACGTACATTGGACTTACAGAAAACGAATTTAAGACTAGACATAGAAATCACACTGCCTCTTTCCGCCACAAAAAACTACGAAACTCGACCGAGCTCAGTAAGCACATTTGGACCCTTAAAGACAGCAATATCGACCACGACATCTCATGGAATATCATCACACACAGCAAACCATACAACAGCACCAGTAAAAGATGCAACCTTTGCCTCAAAGAAAAACTCTTCATCCTCTACCAACCATCCAAATCATCCCTCAATAAACGCAACAAACTTGTTTCCTCTTGTCGCCATAGATCCAAAACACTCCTATGTAATTTGTAACCATACACCTTAATTAATACTCTAACTTGCGTCATTTAACTTGAAACTATACAACTTGATTAATACACTAACTTCCGTCATCTTGTATATATATACTAAGCATTTAAGTATTTTATTCATTAAATCCCCTGAAGAGTGAGCAATCACGAAACAGGCTTGTCGGGATGAATCTGTAGTTCTGTGATTTTTCTCTACACCACTACACATATTTACGCTCTGCTCTCGAGCATCGAGCACTGTTTTATACGGAAAATCATAAATTATAAACTTCCTATATATATATATATATATATATATATATATAGATATATATTTATATATATATATATATATATATATATATATATATATATATATATATATATATATATTATGATAATGATAAGGATTCTCAGGATTTTATTTTGAAATTTTTATTAAGCCTTTAACTCGGTGCTTCGAGCCTTCGTCAGAATGTGCGAATATATTATTTACAAAGATTTTGTAGGCGTTTGTAGCGTCTGATTAGTTGGTTAGTAGTTGAGTTGATATTATTGGATGGTGTAAGATGCGTTGTCATGGTTTTGGGTGTATGGATTGCGTTAATGGAATTTGAGTGTTTTATTTTAGTCGTTGTGTTATTAGTTTGTTGTCTTGGTTTTGTCTTTAGTTGTGAATAGATGATGGGGATGTCAATATGTCTGTTTATTGTGTTGTTGTCTTTGCTGTACCATGCCTCTTTGAATTCTCGTGCGTGTTTGGTCTGTGTGCGTCCAAGAAGTTGTGTTTTTGTCCAGTCTAATGTGTGTTTCGTATCGTAGGTATTTTCTGCTTGTAGTGATTTTGGGTTCATATGCAACTAACACAAAATTAGTTGCATATGAACTCTCTTTAACAGGATTAAAACACACTGCAATACAGAAGAAGCCAAGAAGAATGAACGCAACTAGTTATACTCTACATTCAAAAACAACAATTACTCACGAAACTTTATCAACAAAGTACTAAACAACATACACAACAAACCACAAACTGAAAAACCTAACGAAGGTACAGACGAACAAGTAAAAATAGTGACATTACCATATATAAACGGAACATCAGAAATGACATCAAGACTACTCCGACCATTCAAAATAAACATCGCACATAAACCAACATACAAACTCAAATCATACTTCACTAAACATAAAGACCGAACAACGACATTTGATACAACCAACGCGATCTACATGATACCATATAAAGATTGCCCAAACAGTACATAGGACAAACATCCAAGAAAATTGAAACAAGACTAACTGAACACAAGAATGCCATCAAACGATGCGACCCAAAATCACTACAAGCAGAACATACCTACGATACCAACCACACATTTTACTGGACATAAACACAACTTCTTGGACGCGCACAGACAAAACACGCACTAGAATTCGAAGAAGCATGGTACAGCAAAGACAACAACATAATGAACAGACATATTGACATCTCCATCATCTATTCACAACTAAAGACAAAACCAAAGCAACAAACTAATAACACATCGACCAAAATAAAACACTCGAATTTCATTAACGCAATCCATGCACCCGATACCATGACAACGCATCTTATATCATCCAATAATATCAACTCAACTACTAGCCAACCAATCAGACGCTCCAACCCCCTACAAAATCTTTGTAAATAATATATTCTTACATTCTGACGAAGGCTCGAAGTATCGAGTTGAAAGCTTAACTAAAATTTCAAAATAAAAATCCAGAGAATCTTTAATATTATCATAATATGCCTGGGTTAACAATTTCCTGGGTTACCATTTATATATAAATATATATATATACAAAGTGTATATACAATGTGCCCTCCCGGCTTTCACCATATTAAAATTGTGACCCCTGCACTTGGGACACAGGACGTACGGTTTAACATATATATATATAAACCTCAAGTATATATATCCAAAATATATATATGCAAAGCTCACCTTTATAGGTTCGAGCACTGTGGTGACTCTACAATACAATGCATACAATGTGTAATCGTACGTCCTGTGTCCCAAGTGCAGGAGTCACCATTTTAATATGGTGATAGCCAGGAGAGCACATTGTATATACACTTTGTATATATATATATATTTATATATATATTTATATATATATATATATATATATATATATATATATATATATATATATATATATATATATATATATATATATATATATATATATATAGTTAACTTCTTTGGTGAGTAAATAGACGGGCTGAAAGAAATTATTGACGTAAAATAGACCATGTTTTTACGTACTACAGTGACATGAACGAGCTACTTGAACGACATCGTTTTAGTAGGCCAATATAAAGTAATAACAAATATGACTTGTGGGAAAAGAATTAAGTCAAATGATAAATCACAGTCAAAAAGACTGTGTAACACTGCGGTTTTTGTCTTCATGAAGTTTCAAACAAGTAACAGGAGACACGGCTGCGGGCTTGCACAAATGTACTGCATGTAGAATTAGCCGTCGTGTTACTGTTGTGCTTTCATGGAGTCTTGACGAGTTTGTATAGTTCCCTCAGACACAAGTTGAGCGACATGTAAATAACCAAGGTATAGACTATGTATGCAAGGTTTTTCAAACATCATTTCTCTTGTCATTTTTTGTTAAATAAATAGTAATTTTTGTCATTAGGTTTACGTAGAAATCCCAACATTGTCCAAGGAGAAACAAATGTAAATTAGTATTGTATACATCCACCTGTTGAATTCTGTCAAAATAAACAAGTACTTGCTGCAACGTTCGAGATATGTTTTAAATAAAGTATGTCACTGTTTTTTAAAGTTTCTACTCTCGACATTTTCTATTTCAAAATGCATATTTGAAAGTAAGCATACAATTGACTAAATAAACATCAAGCTCCATCGAACCCACCCATGTCTGGATGTCAAAGCTGCCTTTAAAAAAATATCAGTTTTTTCTATTACAAGTGCCTTCCATCTATTATTTTTAAAACGTCTTCCTGTAAACTCCTTCTCTGGGTGCTTAACTTTGAAATAAAATATCACTTATTATAAGCTGCATGCTGTTATAATTTGGCAATATCATAGCAGCTGTGAATTTTTAGTGGTAGTCAGTAGCATAGCCAGCCCGACTTTTTACTCCCGCTTTGCAAATATTTTTTCTTCACAGACGGAGAGAACAATAAATTTCTAAAGAAATGAATAATGTTTATCTTTCAGAATCTACATAGCGGGAATAAATCTGTAGAATGGCTACATTACTGGTTGTAGTAGTAAATAATTATTAGAATTGCCAATAATACAAGTGCACAACAATGGTTTAACATTCTTTCTTTTCCTACCTCAAAAAATACATGGTCGTTCTTTTCCAATTTGTGAAGCATTGCAAATCTTTGAAATACACCAGTACCGTAATCCTCCAATAAGATTAGTCCACCTTTTACAAACCCTATTGGATTGTAGAAGTCCCAATTTTCACCTACAGGATTAAAACTTGTTTGCTCAATATAGCTTTGTCCAAATTTCCGTTGTGGTAATCCACTAAAGTCAAACTGCCATGTTGACTTGTTTTTAATGTCCCCTTTGAAGATACAGCCAAAATCTACAAAACATGTGGCATAAATAATGCAAGAATCTTGTGAAATTTATAAAAAAAGAGTGGCAGGTAATATGTAATATTTAGAAAAAATCATGAAGCAACAATGGTAGAGCTGAAGCAAAAATTTTCTAAAACTTGAAGATTTATCTAATTCTATGTATAATTTAAGTTTAAAACTTTTGCGCCGTTTCTAAGAGTTATTTTATTAAGTTTTAGAGAATACTGTATTCTTCTAATGAAGTACTTTTTTTACAAAATACGTCATTCAAGGATGTCTTAATTATTGTTACCAAACAACAAAATTGTACTTTTTCCATTGTATTTAAACTTATTCGGATTTTCAAAATCAAATCCTACTAAATATAGCACTCTATAGTAATTGCATTTTATTTTTAAATGAAATATCAGAAGAATTACCAAGCTATTTTGTAGCATGAAGTTACGCTAAGGCCTGTTTCTAAGTTTTGAAGTATTAATGCAAAATGTTGCATACAAGCAAGGGCTTGTGGTTAGAGTAAAAGGTTAAGTGACGACGAAATAAGAATTGGTGGAATTTCGTGACTGCAAATACGATGGCTATTGCGTCTTTGTCTAGCTGGCAATACCGTTTCTGATTTTAAGAGCGTCCTACATAGATGCATATGCATTAGGTTTTTTTGAACAATCCTTCATTTTGTGTGCTAAAACTTCTAATATTTCATCAGGCAATATATCACATGAAACAAGCAACTGTTTTCCGTGGGTTGTACTGTACCAAAACTTTTGATGATTGTAGAAGGGATTTTCATGGATTGTATAAATATGTAGAACAATTATATTGTACGTTGACCGAGCGTTTTTTCGTTGACTCGTAGGAACGTAAATAAGTCGTCGGGACCGACGTTAATACCAACGTTGCATAGACATTTTTTAACGTGGAATAATTACGTGGGGCGAACGTTGAGAACTAATGTCGAGACAACGTTACAATTTACTTTACTATAACGTTTTTTCGTGGACTCGTAGGGACGTAAATGCAACGTGCAAACTGGCGTTAATAAAAATGTTGTAGAGATATTATTTTAACGAAACGTTAAATGAAATAATACATCGAACACTAAGATGCTTCGGGAAATTTACATTAAAAAAGAACTATTTTGTAGTTTTGTTATGACACGTTAACAAATATAGCGTTGACAAGGCTAAGGATATATATAACATATAGCACAAAACTACTGTAAACAACGATACATACTATTTTTCTTTGCAAAATAAGATAAGTTAGACGATATGTAATATATAAACCAGGTTAAAACTATTAATAATATGAATGCTTTAAAAGTAGAAAACTAGCTATATATTATAAGACGTTTGCGTCCTTGCGTATTTGTTTTTGCAAAAACGTCCTTAAAAACTCTATCGAACTTGCGTTTAAAGTCCATATATCGCCTAAAATTTCAAATTCTTTTTCATGAAAGGGTGACACAAATCTCTCGAGCCAGGCTCTGTTGTTTATATATATCCCCTCGCTTATATTGTTCTTGGCGTCTTGTTTTAACGATCCTAAACAATTCGAACAACATTAGTTAATAATCTAATGAAATATGTTTAAATAAGGAATGAGGAGAACGCTTTTTCCTAATCTTTGCAATAAAAAAGTTAAAGGTATCACGAAAATATATTCTTTATCGTATGTTCACAGTAAATATATAAAACACACACATAAACACGCAAGTCAGTCTTTAATAATAATAAACACATATCCTAATACCATATACATGAAACCAAAAAAAAAAATTCAGTAGCGTATCCAGCCTGTAGATTTACTCCCGCAATGCAAATTCTGAAATATTAACATTATTCCTTTCTTCAGAAATATATTGTTCACACGATCAGTGAACACAAAAATATTTGCATAGCGGGAGTAAAAAGTTAGGCTGGCTAAGCTACTGAAAAACACTACTTACTTTAAAAATGTTATACCTGCAAACGTACTGCATGAAAATTGTCCCTTTGAAAATAATGTAAACAAACAGAATTTCGTCGTCTGCTTTTGTATCAAGGATCTCGCAGACTACTCATTTAAAATTTGAACACCAAATAGACAGATTAATAACTTACTTTCAAATATACTACAGGAACAAAACATCGTCAAAACATCAAGAGTCGGCGTTATCTTTGTATATTTATTGTACGAAAACTCGATCGGCAAAGCCAACCAAGTTTGAGATTAATCTATCTGCCAGAAAAACGTAAATAAAAGGCAAGTCATCTATATGACTTAAAGTTATAGCTGCTTTATTTAACTTTGCATTTGAAATGAATTCAATTAAAAAAACTTTAAAGATACTTACCATAAAACTCAAGACTTATGACACTTCAACCAGAACAGTTATGGTTTTTATGTCAGTAGATCGATGAAAGTCTTAATAACTTGTTGAATATTTTTACAAAATTAATTGGCCAAGCACCATATCGACTAACATTTGTTCAAATAAATGACTAAGATCCAACTCTACAAAGGTATTACCTCGCGCCAGCTTATTGTAAATTTAGTTTAGGAGTTGAGTATGCATGTAGTTTTTACACTGTGTTAACTTGTAGTTTAAAATCACCAAAATCTCTCAACGTTCCATCTTGCATACTTACTGGTATCACTGCCGTAGCCAATTCTGAAAACTGCATCGGTCAATTGTCCCAGACTTTACAAACTTTTCGAGGTCTTGTCCAATCTTTTCACGCTAAGTGTATGGTACATTGAGAAAAACAAGGGTAGCTGCAGGATTCACATAAATCTTAGCTGTGGTTTCTTGAAGTGTGCTAAAGTCGTCTTGAAACAGACGAAAATAACCGTGAGGAATCTTATCCAGATGTTGTTTAGTTGATGTTATGGTTTTTTATCATGGGCCTAGTTCAGAATTTTTTAAAATCCAACCAATTCCTTACAAGAAGTCAAAACTTTTTGCCACTACTAATAACGGAAACTTGAATTTTTTTACCTTCATGCAACACTGTAATATCATTGAAACCCATTGGTTTCACTATCTCCTTATTGTATGTAAACATAACCACTCCCGAATGAACTATGGATAGGAGTTTCCCACTGCTGTGCATTCTTTGATATTTATAGCTTCACTTATAACAGACAATAAACCTCCAGTAGAAATCTCCATGTTTATGGGTGTTCCATTAATGAACATAGCATTTTACATGAAGTTGGGTCGTTACTCTTAAAGGTTCATATTGAATAATAAGATGAGGCAGTTTCTTCACACAAACTTTCAACATTTGCATACCCTAGTCCTGTTTCTGAAAGGTAATTGGTACGTTTGATTCTCTCACCTTACTTATCCTTCCCTTTGCTTTCACAAACCCTGGAGATATGACTAAATTTGCGGCATGCATGACATTTTGCACTTTTTAAATCTACACTCCCTGGGGTTGTGCTTTCCATTGCAAACAAAACGCCACGGGTTATGTGTACCTTAAAAGTATCCCTAAGCGTTATCAAGCCTGTTACGCACTTTTCAGGGAAGACTTTTTTTTAGATATCAAGTGTTCTTCTCGAATAATTCAACAGTACAAGAGAGGTGAAGTGCCGCTTTAAAGTTAGTTTTGTTTCAGCTAATAATAGCTGTTAGATTTTATGGTCATTTGTCGCACACACAAGTTGAACTCGTAGTTGATTTTCGTCAAATTTGAACTTAATTGGCAGTCCTTTGATAAACGCTTTAACTCTGCTAAAACATTGAAATTGCTTCACCCTGGTTTTGGCACCCTGTGTTGAACGTGAAATGCCGGACTATTACACTTTGCGTCGGTAAGAGTGGACCTGTACAAGTTATGACAGCTCTTCGTTTTTGGCACATCAGGGGTACCAAATTTCGAAACAAATTATACGTTTTCGCCCACACAGTAAACAAAAGTTTTGAGCGCTGTTTAACTTCGCCTTTGATGTAAATTGCTCTGAAAAAGGGATTCATATGTTCGACATAATGTCGCCCTTCTTCATAGTCGCTATTAAATTCTTACTTTAAGGTAAGTGAGTAGGTTACTACTTGGTGGTAATCTGGAAAAATGCTTTTAATTATATGCTTGTCGTTTGCGATAAATACGCTTTCAGCTGTGCAAAGTAATTTTCTTATCTCATCTAAGATATATACTAAAGAGGATCCAGTGTAGACACGGAGCTGAAACAAGATTTGTTTTGAAAGACAGTAGTCGTGTAATTCTTTTTCTGGATAATCTGTTGTCAAGGATTTTATGCAACCATCGCAATAACAATTTTGCATCATATATTAATGCACGCATATCCTCCAAGATGATACAAGCCTTATGAATCTGAAGCAGATAAATCAACATTTAAGTTTTCCTGATCAATTGAAAAAGATATATCTTCTTCATTATTATCCTTGGAGGTAGATAGTGCTGCATCTATAAAGGAATGACTTTGTATACTTCAATCATTGTCATAGGAAGACGTTGATTTGCCAAAAATGCACTGTGAAGCTGTAATTTTTCGTAATGCCTTGTTAAATTACAAGTGCAGTTGATATTAGTTTCTTCAATATAGTGGTTGAATTAGGATTATCCAGTTCATCTTGTGTATTAAAAGAAATTTGTGTTTTCTCTCTAAAAGTAAAACAATTCTGCACCTGAAGGATTGTTTTTGTTGATAAAATTGTTCCTGTTTGCACAGGCTTCCACTTTATTTCAGACACATTATCTATTTTTAAATGTGTAAAGATTTTTAGGATTGTCTTCAGAAGTGCATGCCTCTTTGGGTTAAAGAGACTTAATTAAACCTATTTTTGTTGAACAAGAAGTCATGAGGTCACACCTTGTTGCAATTTGATTGAAAAACCATGCTGTAATGACTGCAACTTTAATAATGACACCCTCTTGTACAAAGAAACGAATGGCTACCCCAGTTTTCCTGAACATCAAATTTTTTGTTAAGCTTGCCTTTTTCAATAGTGGCCAGGACTGCAACATTTATCATTTAAGTGAAGAGCTATCTTTAGGTTATGGATAGAATCATGCTGTACAAGCTCTTTAATATATTCAATAGATGCTAAATTTGTAGTGAGATTTTGTTCTGTGACTTCATATTGTGAAATGTGGAATGCTTGACTAAATGCGAGATGATTACATATATTCTGCAGCACGTGAAGAGCATCTGGCATAAAGGTAAGTTCGTGATCATCGAGAAAAATGTGGAATAGAATTTAGTATTTCGATTGTGTCATTACCATGTCCAAACTTTCATCTAGTCGCCTTACAATATATTTTAAATTATCTAAGCACAGCCTCTTTCACTCCACCCAAATACATAGTGACATTAAAGACTCTAAGATTGCCTTCCCTTACTTTTTGAATAATTTGCAAAATAATTGCTTTTTTTTCTTTTGCAGAAAAGGAATCGCCTGTGAAGTTATGCACAACAACTTGTTTGCATCTTGTTTTTAATTCAAATTACATAAAAAACTAAAGCATGTGCTGCCATGGTATCTTCCATGTCTTTCTTGTTGCTGCCAGGAGTTGTGCAATGACTAATGACAGATCGTATTTACTAATGAAAGTCATTCGATGGAATAATAGCCATTTCCTTTAGCAGCAAAACATAGTGTCTCACTCGTCTGTTATTGTAGAAGCCATAAAAAAGTGTAGATTCCTTGGGTATGTGATTGCATCTTTTATTTTACTGCTCATATACCCTTGGTGATCTGAACACATTATTACCTCGAATGACAATGCTATAATGACCTGAGATATTAGGCCAGAGACAAATTCCATATGTTCCATTCTTCGATTAAAGGTACGAATTGAAGGCAATGAATAATTCATAGCATGTTGTGTGCTGTATCTTGTTATTGAACAAAGAAAACGTTGTTTTCATGGCATTTTCAACTGTGGCATTTGTTTAAAGATTTAAAATTATAAAATTCGGTTGTTTTGGTAAAAATATTTTTGTTTATTATAGATCCAAAGTTTAACGTTTGTAAATAAAACATAAATCATCAAATCATAACCTGTTCCAAAACCAGGCTTTTTAGATAATAAGTAATCTGGCCCTCATTAAACAATCCTGATAAATTACTTGAGACATTTGCTTGACTTTCTTTAGCTTTTTTAAGTTCTTTCTTTAAGCTTTCTTGTTCTGCTTCCATTTACGTGTTTGCATCATCCCGTGGCTTTGTTGGCTGATGAGTGGTGAAGGACTCATGCGGTTCTGTTTTAGTCTCAGCATTTCACTCAATTTTATTCTTATACTCGTAGCTTTCGCAACGAGTACTTTCAAGCCTGGTAAATACTTGAGAAATGGAGCATCAAGGTAAGCCCGTATTTCTACAAACTACTTGCAGTTAAAAACACTGGCTGTTTTCATCTGCTTATTTAGTAGTGTTCTTTCTTCGTTTGACTAGGTTTTTATAAGAGAAAAGTGTAGTTTTTATAAGAGAAAAGTGTGGATACCGCGTTTGGGCAAAGTTTTCCTGACATTCGAGGCTCGAATTGACTTGCTACCAAGTTAACGTACACAATTAGGCTAAATGAGCAGTACCATCGTACGAACAATGTAACAACAAAGAAGCAGCTGAAGAAGTCACTTAATTCAAAAGTTATACATATATACAAATTTAGTTTAGTAAATTTTGTTAAGTATGTTAAATTGATTTAACGAGAATCCTTAAATTTTTATACTGCGTGTTTTACTTTACAAAGGCTAGCTGATGTTGCGTTGAAAATTTCCCTCTTGATCGCACAAAGCCATATATGCCTTCCAAGTTTCTTGATCCAAAACGTTTTGTAACTGTCGGAGCAGCGGTTTTTTCACACGTTAGCGTAACAAAGCACCATATTTATCTGAAAATCTTTCAACAATTGTATTGTCTGGTGTAAAGACCAGCTTTGAGTCAAATCAAGGAACAAAAATGCCACGTGACCATATTTGGCCAATGATCTATGTATAGAAGAGAACAATAATTGTCGTACCTCTCTCAAAAGAGGGCTCTGGCCTAATAGTCTATCAACTGAGGGTGTGCGAAGGCTCAATAAAGAGCAACAAATAAAACATTTATCACGATATTAAGTTATTATTAGTAGCTTTCCCGCAAAAATTGACCGTGGAAAAAGGGGCAATGTTTCTCTCTAGCCGCCATTTTCTTTTCCATTATAGTCAAATTGAAAGAAATCTTTTTTACATATTATTTAGCTTAAAGCAATGTTGAAAAACATACCCAAAATAGCAGTTTCAGTCA